TAAAAATAAGTTGTAAAATGTTGATACCCCAGCACTGACAACAAGGAAATGGCCCATTAATGCCTATTCTTTGTCTACTGTTGGCCAGTCAAACTTCTGTCCATGTCAATATGTTACCTCATGAGCTTTTTATTCCCGCAGTAGTCAAGTAATCTGCTTCAAGTACACTTTATTAGCTCACACACTAAATACACTGCTTGGAGGAGAAAGGCTTTGGAATTCATTTTTCCACATTTGACCATCCATTTGAGCATCATCATTGGTCACTATGACCCCAGACTAGGAAAAGGAAATATCAGGCACAGGAGTTCTACTTCTAAACTATGCAGTGACCAAAAACAGTAGAAGCCGTAAACAAGCAGCAACTCAGTCAGATCTGTGAAGCTTATCTGTTTTGTTGACAGAAGCCTAATAACCTGCTGTGTTTTTGATATTTTCTACTTTTGTTTAATAATTTCCAGCAGATACAGCTTAATATTGTTTTATGCATTTGGACATTTGATTAATTTTACTTACATCTTCCTAATTGTTCGTAATTCCATCGCCTATATCCCCTCCACCCATATAGTTTACCAAAATGCAGAGGCTCACACTGTCAGGACTGTCACTTGGGCAAGGCAACATAAGGCAGCTGAAGTTTTTGGAGATTGATTGTAACGTTTTCAGGAGAGGAGGGAGTGAAGTTTAAGGGAACAAAATCCCCAGGCAACGTATTACTGCAATGGGCTGCTTCTATTAGTGTGACTGACTTCAGCACAGATCCTGTATTTTCATTATAAAGATATATGCTTATATTTTTAAGACCTTAAGGTGCAGCCCAATCAAATGGCAATTAACACAATACTATCAATCCAATTTTTGTTGCCACTTATTTTTGGTCTGTTGAATCCATTACTCACAAAGTGCAATTCACAAACAGTCATTATGGTGTAGTCTGCAGATCCAACGCAGTATTGTAAACCCTTTTCCTAATACAAGGAGTATATACATGTGTGCAAAAGTCAACCTTCTGTTAACAATTATCTCTTGCTATACTCACGTTTAGGCAACTGTTCACATGTAGTCTTAAGCAATTCCAAATGAGTCTGATGAACAATGCATACAATGCGGTCAGGGGGAAAAGTATTGGAAAATAATCCTAATGATCAGAGATTGTTAGTGCTTCCATTTTCCATGTCAAATTAAGCTCAGTCTATAATTGATACCTGGTACTTTGCAAATTAGAAGCAGATGGGAAAGTAGTTCCACACTGCTGGAAGCCATTTTTGATAGCTGTGGTTAACAGCATTAGCAGTTCCTCCTTTCCTTACCTCGAGATGAAAGATGAAATGGGCAAACCAAATCAATTCAAATGCTTATCGATTTCAATTTTTGCATTGTATTCCTTTAAAAATATGGATCATCTCCATTATTGGCACCCATAGAAAGCCAAGTGGATTTTATCTTTTTTTACCAAATGTTATATGATTCAGCTTCCACCCCTGCTGTCCTCACTTATGCTGAGCTACAGTTCAAGGGTACTCAGCATCCTCAGACACCTTGTTCAAGTGGCCATCTTTACAGATCGCTCTGGACAGTGTCACCGACCAATGTGCTCATGGGGACACCAGTGCTGATTCAAATTCTTTCAAGATCTGATTACCAATCATTTTCCTACATGGGTCAATGCAATCAGAAACCCTGGCTATTCCTCCCACTGCAACACCCTCCCTATCCCCTCAACAAAAAACATTACCCTCTGAACCCACAGGGGCTGAAGCTAACTGCTGTGCTTCAACTGATAGGCAAGATCAGCTAACTCTGCACAAACCAAGAATCAAATTTGGGACTGTGTGATGTAAAAGACTCCGTACAAGGTGTAATAAGAAGACACTGAGCCTAGGCTGCTATTTTTATTGGATGGATATAATTTTCAATGGATTCTTATAATTCCAAACAATTGGTTATTCTCTGTAGCCACTGGCAATATTTATAACTGACGTAACACCCATTCATGGCTTTATGGTCTTAATGCATTGTCTTATCCAAGTTTTAAAAATCCTATTGTATGCGATATACAAAAATACCCATTAATTAAAACAAATTTGAATATAACAGCAGGAATTTCACATATACTATCTGAATTTTGTTAGATTTTTGTTGCAATTGAGAAACACTTCCCTGCAAGTGGACCCTAGTTCTTTAAAAAAGTATCCAGACAGGATTGATTGGTTAAAAGCAATAGTTCTCAACTGAAATTCATTTGAAATCATCTATCTAGTCTTACTTTGGCACAAACGTGAACTGGCGTCATAAAATCCAAAACAAAGGGACAGGAATTGTTTGTTTTCAACAACTTAGTAAATCTCTTGTATATTAATTGTATTAGAATTAGCTGATAATTAGTGAAAATGTGATTGAAACGCATCTGTTTCATTGCTAAACACATAGGAACATAGAAATATGGGAATTAGGAACAGGAGTAGGCAATTCAGCCCTTCGAGCCCCCCCCACCATTTAACATGATCATGGCTGATCTTATGCTGGTCTCAACTCCACTTTCCTGCCGGCTCCCCATAGCCCTTTATCCCACTTCTCATCAGAATACAAACTAAAATGTCAAGAAATATTCAACACATTGCAATTCTGAGGCAAGGTCATCTACCAGAAACTTTAATTCTGTTTTTCTCCCCACAAACCTTCTGAGTATTTTTAGCATATTTTTAATTTTAGATTTCCGACATCCAGAGTAATTTGCTTCTAATGTAACAAACTTTTACTGCTGACCTGCTGGAACTGCTCTGTTTTTTTCAATGATTAGGACACCATTACTTTGCATGCAAACAGTGATTTTGACATTGGACTTTGACACCCATGTTATTAAGTTACTTGATCACCCCTTTTTTTAGTGAATTTGAATAGTTTTACAAGTCACTAATTTGCATTACCATTATTGGGTAAAGTATATTATGTAGAAGTTGCAAAATCATCAGAGAATTGTTGTGAATTCCAGTAAAGCCTTGTTGTACTCATAAGAACAAAGATAGAATCTAATTATATGAGAGTATAAAATAGGACTGAACATGCAGAAATTCCAAAAAAGGTCAACATACAATAAAATCCTGCACATAACAGGGATTTATATGCAATGAGTCTGCACACATTTGGACATCAGTGTAAACCCATTCTGAAAAAATGTTCCAAATAGTCAAAGCACTAAGGTCTGGTTAAATTTATCCATCGTAATTAGGATACAATCCCCTCAAACATGTTCTATGAACTAAATGTGGTATTTCAAGCAGATGGTTTGTGATGTAACATTATGCTAACTCTGATTTTTCTTCAACCAAAAGCAACTGTTGTTAAAAGTTCTGAACAAAATTCTAAACTGCAAGATTAAAGTTAAGAAAAGAACATTGTTGCTTTCTGTGCATGTTGATTCTTTACTGTATGAGAATTTCACAGGCAGCATCACCCTCATACACCTCATTCAAGTTGTCAAGATTCATGTGCATCTGTTGACCCTTTTGACAGGCCATTTGCTTGAGGAAAGCTTCATAACCAAACACAATTCTGTTCTCACACAATGTGCATTCATGTATAACTCCATCAACAGTTGCTGATTTTCATTAGTAGGGTATGCTTTGGACAATTTTCCATTTCTTAGGTCAGATTTATTGAAAATAATGTGGCATTTATCAGATCCACAAAAACTGAGATTAGCTAACTCAGAACAAACAGGATGAAGGGTCTAGGCCCAAAACGTCAGCCTCTCTGCTCCTATGATGCTGCTTGGCCTGCTGTGTTCATCCAGCCCTGCACCTTGTTGTCTCACCTTCTTGGTTTGTTTGGGTTGGAGACTCTGGTTGAATTTGCTGGGCTATCAAAGAAGCTTTTAACAAATTGATATAGTGTGTCTAACTAATTCACCCTTTCACTGTAATGCCATGAAAGTTAGTAATTTAATGACTTCCTTCAGAGTTCCTCCTGGTTCAGTCAGAAGTCATCCTCAACTTTCTCAACCAAACTCAGGTTGAATTTGCAATCTTAATAAGAACTGAGAAACTGCTAAACAGAACAACGTAACATAAAGTGAAATGGTTTGTGTTAACAGTAAGTTTATAACATCGCCTCAGCATTAGCAGAAAAACACATTGATTACTAATCTGCCAATATGTAGGGAGAAAGTGTTGAAAGATTAAATGCAAAATCACTAAAAATCACACTGCAAATGTAATGGTAAAAAAAGAACCATGTACATTCTTACTGCCACTGATCTATTTCCTCTACTTGATCATCACAACAGCATAGGACAGGAATGAATGTATTGAATTGTGAACAACATCTAGTACCAAAAAGTAACAGACAGAAAATTAGCTACAACTTTGTTTAACTTTTCAGTGAAAACAGTTTAGCATTTGGCAATGTGCTTTACTTGCACATTCCTAAAGTCTAGCCTCAGTATAGACGGGCTTAACATTCTCTGTAAACATTTAGTGATGTAAACCTGTTAAAGGGGATGGAGGGAAACTACCTGTTAACTAAGCACATGCTACAGTTTACCTGTGCCAAGCCTCTATTTGCTTCAGTACAAAGTAACTTGATACACAGCACAAATTGCACAGTTTAAAGCCATTAGTCTGTACTCCCGAACTATAAGCACAATGTGTGTACACAATTATTGTATCGTTATATTTTAACAAGACCCTTTACAAAACGGGGTATTCCGCTTGTTTCAAACACATTCATTCTGTATGAACTCGGATTTTCGCCAGTTGGAGGTCGCTGTGCGGGCTCACCCACAATGAAACACACACAATAAATTCAACACAGTCTCTCAGCTGAACATCTTGTGGTCCCTGCTACATGCAGTAACCCAACAGGTAAAGAGGCAGTCACATCCTGGGAAAGTTAATCTGATGGTGCCAACTCCGGGAGATGGTCTGCGCCCACATGCCCTTTGCCAGCTGGTAAAACTGGGTCAAACCCTGGCTCAAACTGGAGAGGAAAGATCTGCTTACCTGCTTGAACTGTTCCTCGTAGGTCCACTCCTGCTGCTGGGACTGTGCCGGCTGAGGGATACCGACAGGAGAGTGAGACTGGCCGGGAAGGTGGTAGTGATGCTGCCCGAATCTGGAGAGCTGGACCGGGGTCCCTTTCAGAGTGTGCCCGGGGGTTGGCACCCCGGAAGCGCGATGAATGTGACTCCCGTCCATTCCTTCCTCCTCCTCCTCTTCTTCTCCTTCCTCTCCCAGCTCTTCTTCTTCCTCCTCCTCCTCTTCCCCTTCCTCCCCGGGCTCAGGCTCGTCTTCATCGGACTCGGAGAGGGCGGACGGGACGCGTCGGCGCTGCGTTGCCAGCAGCGGTCGATGGGCCCCGCTCGATCCGGGGCCGGCGTCCCCCAAGCCGGCGAGAGCGGCAGCTCGGACCGCTGCTAGAGCAGCAGCTTGCTGGGCAGCTGCTAGGTGCTGGTGCACGGCGGCGCTCATGGCTTGTTGTTGCTGTTGCTGACTGTCAGCTCCTGCTCGGCTCACATGCCTCTCCCTCTCTTTCCTCTGCCTCTCCTCCAGCTCCAGCCTGGCCTGTTGCTGCCGCTGCAGATTTTCCATCACCGCTTCCAGCTTCATGCCGTGGGGAGCCTGGTAGTGTGCACTTCCAGCAGGGATCAGACCAAGTCCATTAGAGGCTGTTAAGCCTTGGTGCTGGTACAAAGTGGGAAGGGAAAGCAAAAAAAAAACACAAAATAGTCATGCGGGACAGTTTGATCAAACTTCGCACGCAAGCTGACCATGTGTAATCAACAGACGGGGAGCCTCGGTCTTCTCTAAACACAAAAAAAACCCCCAAACTGCAACACACTCAAGAGAGGAAAGCTAAACTTTACTGCATCGTTAACTTGTCAGAACGGCCGGACACGACTGGATGTTTGAAAAGTAAAATCAAGAATTTGTATCAGAAGTTTCCAAACCCCTCAATCTGCGTTTAGTGAAACTTTTAATAGGCACCTTCTTTCAACCGCTCCCCGGGGCTCACAAACACACGGAATGGAAAGGGTTACAAACGAATCCAACAGATCTATCTGCAATTCAAAGCGCAATAAGAACAATTTGCTCAATTCCTTGTGTTTTCTTTTTTAGAAAAAAAGAAAGTTTACTTTTTGTTTGGTCGGCGCAAGGCTTCCCAAAACCCACCGAGTATTTGATGTAGACCGAGCGATCGCTGCTCCTTCTAGCTGTTATTTGTTGGCACGTACACTCCACAACGAAAACCAAATACGCTTCATAATAAACTAAATTAAATATGACCTGACCCTATTGTGCAACGCCCCATTACAGCCTGTCCTCAGAAACAAGTGACTCCAGCGACTGCAACCGAGCCCAAAAGAGAAACATCCAGAATTTCGCTCTGCAGACACGATCTAGCAACTCTCCCACTTAGAAAGTACAGCATTTAATAGAGATCCTCATTTGTAAATCCAATGTCGAAGCTACAAGTTCCAGAACTGGTTACAATGTGACTTCGTCTCTTCCCCGCTTGAGGAAGAATCTTTAAAAGAACTTTTTTTTCTTGTCCGTAATTACCAGGAAAGCTTCTCCGATTGTTTTCATTACAAACACAATCCTGCACACACCCTCCCCCCCTCCGCTTTAACCACATAAGCGTTAGATTTAACATATTTCCCATAACTTTATCAAAACTCAGTCAGCCCTGCTTGAAAAATATGTATAAAGCTTGGATCAGTTGCATTCACTGCCCCCTCCCTACAATAAAAACCTCGTTTTTAACATGTGCTTTTTAGTTATAAATATTTCTAGATTTTTTTTCTGGGAGCAAACGAGCATTTTCTGCTCTCCCATTCATTCACTTTATTTATTCCGCTCGCTGCCCGACCGTTTCCGCACTTTTATTCTCAGCGATCTCTCATCACAAATTTCATCGCTTTCTCGCCGCTGACTTTCCTTTTCTTGGTGTTTTTTTAGGGGGGAGGGGGTTAAGAATGATAACATAGAATTTACCTTTCCCCGAGAAACAAAATCTCAACAAACGGACCAACCCGAATAAACGCCTGTTTTTTTTTAAAAAATCTGTAGATTGGTGTTGACTCTTATCTGCCCAAAATCCTGCCTTCTGTTTTATCTCTCGATGTACATAGTTTTTTTTTCGATTCAATCGCTTGTTCCCAGATTAAACAATCTCCCCTTTCATTTTCTCGTCTCCCTGTGACGGGTTGCAGACCCTGTCACGTCTCCTATTTAGTAACACTTTATCTCTGTAAAAATCGCTTCCCCCCATCGCCAAACCTGATTAAAATATTTACAGAGAGCGAGAGAGAGAGCTACCGGATTACGCCTCCGGGCGATCTGAGCTCAGTGAGACAGGGAGAGACGGAGGGAAAGTGGGATAAATGATATAGAAATGATTTTTAAAAAATCCTCACCAGCGTTGTTTTAGCCACTATACTCGCGTTGTCAACCATGATCTATTTTGGTGTTGCTGTTTTCTTGCTATGTTTTATTTTCCTCTCTCGTTATCCACATGGAGAATTCCCTTTGGACAGTCCAGATTTTCTTTTCTGATTTCGATATTCCCGATCCAGTCCCTCTGGGGACTCGCTGCTTCCTTTTCACAGCATGCAACATACATAGAAACATATATAGATCTGCACATATACATAGGCATATCACTGCCAACCATTAAATATCGCCCTCCAATTGCAACAAGTGGCTCCAAAGCGCTGGGGCGCTTGCGTAACCTGGTCTGACAGAGCCAGACCTCTACTCCCATTTGCTAAATAGACGTCAATGTGTTGATAAATAGAAGAGGCAGCGGAGGGGTTGTGGGGGAAGTAAATGACAGCCGGCTCCCACTTCTAGTAGGGACACATGCTTCCCAATTCCAATGCACAGCAGAAACAGCCTTGACTATCCCTGCAGCGTTTGCACGGCTTAAATGCTTCTGTTTCTGTTTTGTTTGTAGATGTGTCATCACTCGGTTTTGGAGGGCAGAGAGTGGGCTGGGCACAAACTTGGCACCAGGTTAAAGTGTGTGGGGTGGTGGGGGTAACAGAGCAAACAGGGCACTAGGTTAGCCCGGGGACAGTCGCACCTCCGGCTGTGCCTGTGCCCAGAGCTATTTAAATATGAACATAAAATGTCCCCCATGTTCTCGGTGAAGGAGATGAAACCACATCCCCAGCCCCCAGAACCCCACTCCCCTCACACAATGTGATTGAACCGATCGGGACAATAACAGCCTATGGCAAGAGTGGAAATGAACACCCTTGATAGAGTCGCACCTCTTTGATGCTGGACCCGTCATATTAAATAGCTTGTACAGTTTACATTGTTCTGTAGATTGGAGACCAGAAAGGCCGATAATGAATATGGGAGTGTCCGGCTAGGGTGAGCTGTGCTATGACAGCCTAAGATGTATCGACTTCTCACCATATGGGAAATTTACACCGACAGCTCTGGGTGCGGCTGCAACTTGTAAAGTGCGAGTTTGGTGGGTGTAGGAGGCTGAGATATTTAAACATCAAACATCCAGACAGTTCATAAATAGAGAAAGCAGATGGCTCTCTTTCACAGTAACCAACACAAGGAAAGAAAGAGGCGAATGGCTGAAAAGTTCCCCCTGCAAAATAGCTGTGGCTGGAGCTTTATTTGATTCACAGAATACAATATGTTAAACATTAATAAACAATTCGCAGCCACCAACACTAAGCGCAAAAAAACTCATCATGCAACAAGTTTCGCTGCCGCCTGAGTAATTAATACGAGCAGTTTTCGATGAGTTTGTGCTTGTTTTTGAGGCGTGTACATTGAAGACAGTCGGACACATAGATAATAAATATGCAGGGGGATTAATGACAGGGCGTAACTACTGATACAAACAATACCAGATGTGTTCTAGGATGTGGTCCAGGCTTGATGGGAAATCTATACAATGGATTTAGATCAGTTTGTTTTCACAGATGGCTGTGTGTCAATTTGTGCAATATATTCATGATTTTCGTACCCAAATCGGAGCTAATGTGTAGCGAAGGTTCAACCATGATAATATATCATGTTACACAAGGTGCCTACGTTGGCAATGCGTGTTGTGGAATGTATGTCATTATGGAGTGAATATATAGGCCTTCTCTGTGTAACCGAGCATATGCTGTGTAATTAGCATAGGAGAATGTCCTCGTTAGATCCCAGGGCTGCGCTCAGTTAGTTGTCCTGAGTCAAGCAGCAGAGTGTCTGCCTCCCCGATATCTTTTGGAAGGGGAAAATAAAGTCAGCCAGGATTACCACTCCTGATTGGCATCCAGTGACCCCTACTGGAAAGTGCAAGTGAGTGGCGATCACAAGAAACAGCATCGTTGTTGGCTGTAGTGTAAGCTTCCCCCTAACCCCTCATCATCCCACTGTTCTTATGAAATAATTGCTGATTCTCACTGTCAATACTCACATATAAAGGATAATCATATGGGTGCTGTATCAGAGGCCTGCTTGTGCTGATACAGCTTATTTTGTCTCATAGATTGGTGACCATGGATGCTGCTAACTAGGACCCATGTCCCAGTTTGGAATATCATGTTCATGCATGCAGGACAGAAAAGGAGGAAAACATTTCTATAGAGATTAAAATAAATTATGAATGCAGCTGTGGGTACCTTCTTATGGGGTTGGGGAGACATCATACACCACAGAAAGTGCTAAATTCAAACAGTTTATAATCATTGTGTGAAGCTACATCTGGTATAGTACATCAATATGAAAATCACACACATCTTTCTCTAAATATTGGCAGAGCTACCATAACATTGTTCATAGGTAGTCTGGTGTACAGTTGTGATGTTTAGCTCCCAAGATAAATTTATGTTGAACTAGTCCTGAACTTTCAAGTCCTCCTGTCGGTGCAAAGTCAAAGGTCTAAGGAGACACATTCAGGTAATTGCAGTGCCTTCTGAAGTCAGTTAGAAGGTAATTTTTAAAGTTATGCCTGTAGATCCAAAGATTTCAACATTTTCAGACTGCCGTTGGCAAATTGTAACAGTTTTAAGTACAGAGATAACAAGGTGTAGAGCTGGATGAACACAGCAGGCCAAGCAGCATCAGCGGAGCAGGAAAGCTGACGTTTCAGGTCGAGACCCTTCTTCAGAAAAAATTCGACCCGAAACATCAGCTTTCCTGCTCCTCTGATGCTGCTTGGCCCGCTGTGTTCATCCAGCTCTACACCTTGTTATCTCAGATTCTCCAGCATCAGCAGTTCCTACTATCTCTGTAACAGTTTTAAGTACAATGTTTAGGGCATCAAGGTAAGAATTGATATGCAAGTGTCAGTAATTCAGGCACACAGAGTGCATGAAACAAACCAATCCCTCAGTCCTTTTTGTTTTAGGAAATGAAGACAGATCCTTAATGCAATTGTCAATGAGAAGTGTAATGTCTGTTTTCAGATTATTCCCCTGAAATTGGGCTGCTCTGAATACTGCTGGTTCTGGGTCTGCTTTAGGATAACAGAATTGACATGTAAACAAACCAGCAGATCTCAGAGGCAGCTCTGGAGACCAGCAACAGAAATCCAAGGTCTTAAAATACTCCCAGAATAAATGTTGAGGCAAATGAAACGATTGTGCTCTTTGTTCAGTTGGCATCCTGAAGACACTCTCCATGATTGCCTCTACTGCCGATATGCAATGATTAAAACTGATGTCCCTTTCACCAGCAATACCCCTGGTGGCATGCAGTAGGTGTCACTAGCTCTCGTTCTCAATATTATTGGGTGTGTCTGTTCTGGTGCTGGGATTGTGACCTGCTGCCAGCTTGTACCAAGTTGGCTTATGCTATCCAACCCCTTAGCTCTGATGGGGCTCTAATTTTTGAACTTTAATAGAGAGGCAAATCTGACAGAATATGCAACAAGTGGTCAATCTGCTGCCTCCAGTCTCACAATTATTCAAATTTCCTAAAAAATTATGTACGCGCTGTTACTTCAGATGATACACTGTTTTATAAGGATAGGAACATTATATCATGTAATACAGGTTACGATGTCCTGAGGCTAAGATGAAGCTGTGTCACATGTCATAGTCATAAATATTAATTACTGTTAAGTAAATACTAAATTATGTCACTGCCTAATTATTCTTCAAGCTGCAGGTCGTAACCCTGGCTTTTTATAAATGTAATTGGTAAGGCTCTAGATGTTGGTTATTTTGGTTCTGTGTAAAATGATTCTTGTTACTTATATTTCTTTTGAGTTATGGCAATGAAAGTTGAGCGTGATGCTTGAAGTGTGACAGACAAGTCCGATGAGCAAGCAAGAAATAAACATAGGCAGAAAGTGCACGCTGCACACAGTAGGCTAGAATTCCAATCGTTTCGAAGGCAGAAATCTGGCAGAGTGAGAGGGGAGAAACAGAAAATTGCAGAAAGAATGTACACATACAGTGTTTCCTGGCTTCTTTGGCTCTTAAAGTGACATTTTGATAGAGGGGAGCTAGGCAAATATTCCCCATGAATTTTGCATCATTTTGGGAATAGGCCAAAGTCGATCTTTCACAGGTCTCACCAGTTAGACCTTGTGTACGACAGTGACAAATGTGTCTACATGAAACAATGTACTTTCTAGACAATGTTTTATAGAGTTACTGCTACACTGATAGTCAAGTAGTAAACGTATACTGCAACTACTGACTACTGTAAATCCTGCTGAACCAATATTGAACTCTTTCTAAAGTCAAAATATGTTCTCTCATGTTCAGTGACCAAATATAATGCTGTATTCCAAATGGAGTCTGACAGAGATTTTAGCAAAAGTGAAGCATCACATTTGCATTCCAGCTTTCTTTTGACAAAAGCCAACAATATCTTTGTGCTTGAATTACATGTTTTACCTGGGCACTTGTTTTTTGTGATCTATGTACAAAAATGCCTAAATCCATTTTATCCCCAATCTCTTTTATTCTCCACAGCTCATCGCGTCATCATTAAGAAAATATTTTGATTTATCTTTTCCAGATTCAAAATAGGTGACTTCACTCTCCCACATTGAGTAGCGCTGTCAAATTTTACCTTTTCTAATTTGCTTATTATGTCAATGCTCCTTTGTCACTTTCTCCTCTTATTCACAGAACTTGCTATGATTCCTGAAGAAGGGTCCCAAACCAAAACACCAACTTTCCTGCTCCTCTGATGCTGCCTGACCTGCTGTGTTCGTCCAGCTCCACACTGTATTGCTATGATTCCTAATTTAGCGTCATGTGCTAACTTGGATATATAACTCTGCACTCCTTCATCCGAATTATGAACATACATAATGAAAAGCTGCAGCCCCAGTGCAAGTCTCTGCAGAACACAACTTATCTCATCCAACTGAGAAATTTATTTTGTGTTTCCTTTTTCTGGCTCCTAACACATTACAAACCTGGCTGTCAAGATGACCTCCAATCCCATTGTTCTCTTTTTGCTAAAAGTCTTTCCCGTGGTTCATTATCAAAGGTTTCCCATTAAGCTGTTATAAATAGCATTCATGCAC